TTAAATATCCAAATATATCATCTTTAAAAAATATGGTTTAAATATTGATTTCTAACCTAACTCAGAATCAGGGAATATGATCTATGGAAGCAGATTGCCAGAAAGCTGTTGAGATTTTCTTTTTAACATAGTTCATGACCAATATTTATAAATGTTCCCCAAATGTTTGTGAAGATGTTTATTCTCTAACAATAGAATGGAGTATTCCACATATGTCCATTAGATCAAGACTGTTAATTGTGTGGCTTGATTCTACTTTTCTTTTTAATCTGACAATTACTGTAAGGAAGATTAAAACCATGTTTGTGGACTTATAAGTTACCCCTTGAAATTCTGACAGCTTTCATATGTATCAGACTATTAGTAAGTGGTGATAGGTTGAGAACTTTTTAACCTTTTTGGTAAATTATGCCTTTAAAATACATGTGGTTCATTTCTTTATCTTTAAGGCTTTTTACATTAAAGTTTGCTTTGTCTGATATTAATATTCTGTGCTATTCTAAGTGTTTCTTTTTTCTTTACAATTTTTCTATTATATCTTTTTACTTTACTTCCTTAGTTTTTTAGGCATATGTCTTGTAGTGACATACAGCTGTATTTAGTTTTTATTCAATCTGAGAGTCTCTGGGAAAATTAATCTGTTTAATACATTTATTGCTTTTACTGAAACATATGGATTAATTTTTACTATTTTGTGCTTTCTACTAATCATGCTTTTGCTTTATTTTTCTCCTTTCTTGCCTTGTATTGGATTGATTAAATTTTATTATCCCTCTTTTTATTAAGAACTGATACCTTTCCAGGCTTCTGATTTCAAATTAGTCTCATTTTCAATTTGGGACCTTATGAGAGCTTAAGACCATGTGTTCTGTACCCATAAGACTGTCAAAACTTTGACCTTTTGGTAACTGAGATCGGCAAATGCCTCCAGGACACCAATAGCTTAAATGCCAGCTTAATAATAAGTTTGTTTTCAGCTCCCTCCTTATTCATCTCTTCTTTCTTTTTTTAAAAAAAAAGATTTTATTGGGGAATTGGGGGAAGGGAACAGCGTTGGGGAATTGGGGAAGGGGAACAGACAAGCCGCTATTCCCCTATTCCTCAGTCCAGCTGTGGAGGACGTCACCCCACTGACCCATTCTGGCATTATCATTGCACTCTTCCCAGGCAAGGCAGCTTCTCAGCAGCCATTGGACGGCCATTCACGGCAGCTCACACCAGCTGCCAGCCACTCACAGTAGCTTATGGCAGCCCACTGCAGCCCCACTGCAGCCTATGCCATCACCGGTGACTCAGAGCCACCCAGCTCCAGGTCGAGCTGTTGTTCACCATCTTAGCTGTACAGGGCGCAGCGTCACTGGCCCATGTGGGATCCGAACTAGCGACCCTGCTGCTCAGAGCTTGTGCTCCCCAGCCAACTCTTAACCAATGAGCCACTCGGCGAACCCCATCTCTTCTTATTCCTTTCTTTCTCTTGATACAATGGGTGGAACATTGTATCAAGGGAGATGCACTCCTATGGTCTGAATGTTTGTCTCAAAATTCATATGCTGAATCCTGATGCCCTATTTGATGGTATCAGAAGGTAGAGCCTTTGGGAGGTGATGAGGTTATGAGATGGAGCCCTCATGAACAGGATTAGTGTTCTTCAAAAAGAGATACCACAGAACTCTCTAGCTACTTCCACCATGTGAAGGCACAGCAAGAAGGCACAAGTTATGAACGAGGAAGAGGGCTCTCACCAAAATGCAACCATGCTGATATCACAATCTTGAATGTCCCAGTCTTTTAAATATGAGAAATAAATTTCTGTTGTTTATAAGCCACCATTCTGTTGCATTCTGTCATAGCAGCCCAATGGACTAAGACACATCTTTTTCTTGAGCTGCTGTGAGTTAATCTGCTGGATTAACTCACAACTTTGGAGGTCTATGAACCATATATAGATATTTATTTGACTTTTGCAGTGTGAACATAAACACTATTTTTTGGTAAAATATTAGAAGGTTTAATCCTCTTCCTCAAGAGCATCTTATATATTCAAGTAATATTCTTTTAAATGCCTATGCTATCATCATGTGTTTTTTTCTCTTTCTGTAGCTTTAACAGGCTTAATTTTGCCAGATCCTCCTTTGCTAATGGTTTTGCCCGTGATTTAGTTATCCAATATCATTTATATTGACTTCAGGAATTCCTGAATATTTTGCAAGACTTTCAATTTCACTTTGTAGTGACTAGCACCATAGTGTTAGATGTTTACAACATCAGCACCTAGACAAGGATGTCCTTGTCATGGGCTCAGACTAAAGCTACTGTTAAAGTAGGGGGAAAGAATGTTTGAGAATGTCTAATTTTGAGAGGCATCTAATTCATTAAAACATATTTTTATGTCATGATTATTTCTGCTTCACAGTGCATCATAACCATGGTGGTGAGGTTAAATAATAAATGCTCAGAAAATGAGGCCTCCTCCTCTGTTACTCACAAGGGTATTCCTTCCACTAGATGATCTCTCTCATTTAAATCAAAATTTGCTTTTGAATTTGTTTTATCACTTCTGTTTAGAGGTCAACCTTTTAAGGATTAACATCTTAAATCAGTGGATCTCTGGAAAAATTAGACAGTCTTACAAAACTAGTCATTTCAGTAGAGGAAAAAAACCAAACTTCTTCTTTGGTAATTGTAGAAAAAAGTAAGCTTGATTGAAATTTCCATTTGCCATTGATTTTAGAGACAATGTGAAAAGAGTTTTAAGTAAAACAGATATATTTCATCAATTCCAAGAAAGATTTTTTTCTACATTTAAAAATTTCCAATATTAGGTTGCATATTAAAATCAAGTATTACAATAAGCACTTTTTTCCCCCTTTTTTTAAATGTGCCTAAATGATATGTCTTCCAATTCATGGTGTTTTAAATTAGAATCTAGTCCAAATTTCCAATGTAAGTGATAATGTACTACCAATTATTAGCCAAAAATATTAAACTGAAGCAACAGCTATGCAGAGTGCAACTTTCAAGTGGATGCATTCCACTGATAACAATAGTAATAGCAATATGTACATATATTCCTTGCTATGATCACGTACTATTTTAGGAGCTTTACTTAATCTTTACAATAACCCTTTTTAGGTAGGTTACTTTTATTAACCTCTTTGCTGTCATTGGTGAAGACACTAAAGCAGTGAGGTTAAATGACTTACCTCTTAATGATGTGTGAAGGCCAATAATGTACACATAATTAGTGGATGAGTTAGATGTTTCTCTTAGATACAAAGTTTTTACCTTTTGGTAAACAGAAGAATTTTATGAAAACGTACTGCTAATTTTTAGTATGTCAAAGAGTGGATATCTATTTGCAGAGCAAATATCCATATACTTTTCCTCATTAAAATGGCAAACAGATTATAATCTCTGCCTCCCCTTCCCCTCCAAAAGATGTTCATATCCTAATCCTTGAAGCTCATGAATATGTTGCTTTATATGGCAAAGGGACTTTGCCATATATGATTAAGGGTACAGACCTTGAAATGGGAAGACTGTTCTGGATTATTCATGTGGACCTTTTAAATCAAAGAATCTTTCCCAGCTGCAATCAGAGGGAGATGTGACTACACTATAAAGGGTCCAAAAAATTAAACAGTCTAGCTTTGAAATCAGAGGAAGGGGGCCATGAGCTAATTGATGTGTGTGGATTCTAGAAGCTGGAAAAAGCAAGGAAAGGGATTCCCCTGTGGAGCCTCCAGAAAAAAATGTAGTCCAACTAACACCTTGATTTCAGCCTCATGAGACCAGCGTAGGGCTTCTGACTTACAGAATTGTAAGATAAATTTGTGTTACCTATTAAATAATACTTTTGTGCTATTTAAGCCACTAAGTTAGTGGTGAATTGTTTAAGCAGCCATAGGAAACTAATACAGGCCCATTTAGGCTAACCTAGTTCAATAAAATATTGTACAGTATGTGAAAACATTTTAACAAGTGAAGGAACCATTTTTGTATTAATCCAGCGCATTAGATTGGAAAAGTGCTAGAGAAGCAGTATCCATCTAACTCATGTGTAATTTGCTGCCCTGAAGATGTTTACAAAAACATACTAGATGGTTTGCTTAGCATTTTCCCATGTGTTATAGAAATCACTGGTAACTTTAGATGGTACATGGAAAAACACTTCAAATTTTCATAACATTTTTACCATTGCCTTCTATTTATGGCACGTGTTGCTGGTTTTGTACTCACATTAGTTATTTGCGATTTACTATATTTTAGTGTATGATTCAAGAAAAACGTGCTAAGTTCACTCAGCCTCCCGTGGGTGTCCTGAGGCATCGGGGTCCCACACGGCTGAGGCAGCACTCCAGGAGGGAATCGCTGGCACCCTAAAGTTCCTGGGTTTGGGGCTTGGACGAAGTAACTAAACCAAATAGAAGCCAGAATGCCGCGATCGCAGGGACGACCATTTCCTGCCAGGCCGCCAATCTTCTTACCGGCCCTTAAAAGACCACAGCAGGACCAAGGACCTGAATATTTTCTGCCTCCCCAGGAGCTGCAAGAGACCGCACCACGCGAGCGAGCAATACCAAACATCGCGATATTTCCAAGTATCACGGATCTTTGCGTTACAGTCCTGGGGGGAAAGACTGCAGGGAGATCGCTCCGCTCATGCAACGCAGATTCTGTTCTCGCGAGATCCCGATGACAGCTCGGGAGCCCGTTCACGCGGGATTTCGCGAGTCAGGGTTAGAAGTTGCGGCGGGCGGTAGGAGGCCCAACCCCGGGAGGGAGGTGTAGGGGTCTGCGTGCCCGCCTGCACGCCTCCTTCCGCGGCGGAGCCCAAGACGGCTAGGTGAGCGCCGCCTTGTCAGCCTCCACAGCGCCTTTCGGCTCTGCCGCTGCACCGGACGGCGCCATCCCGATTTCCGGACGGCGCCAGGCTGAACCTTTGTTTTCCCTCGCCCTGTGGCGTGCGGCTCTAGGGGGGCCATGTACGGAGGGCGGCGCGCCCGCTCGCCGCCTCCTCGCCGTCCTCCGCTGCTTGTTGGTTATTAAAAGTAACCAGGCTGTCAGGCCCGTCCCTCTGGCCAGATGGATCCCTGTACCCCGAAGCCCCTCGCGGAAACCGCCGGCAAAGGTATAAGCTCCGAGTTCGCCTCTGCTGACACCTGTCTTTACTGTGCCAGGTTGGACCTGTTCCTCCCTGTTCCCTTGGGGTTGGGATTTTGCCCTGTGTCTCCTCTGAGTGACCTCTCCAAGGCTGGGGCCAATTCTTTGAGATTTAGTGCTGCAGTGCTGCATTCCGGACTCTGGAGTCACACAGCCTGTGGATCTGGTGCTGCTCTGACAGTTACTTGCTAGGCAACTTTGGGCAGTTTCCTCATCTGTCAAATTGAGATGGTTGCTGAGTTCTTGTGATTATCAAATGAGATGGTATATGCAAAGCACTTATGTGACCCAGCGTCTGGCCCATAGTAAATGTTTGCTATTTTTATTCTTTAAACTTGAATGATCCAATTCTTTGTGAATGGTAGAAGCTTTTTTGTTAAGTAGATGAAAAAAGATTGAGATATTTACTTCAGTTTGTAACACAAAGAGCTTAATAATATGATGTACTGAATCAGGGCCTTTATCATTCCACCTGTAAGGAGTCACCAAGAGAGGGATTAAGGAGGGTGTGGTTATCTGCCACAAGTCATCTGGGACGCCTTCTTCCTCCCGAGTTAATAGCTTTCATCATTTATAGTGATTTAACAAAAGCTACCAGATATTGAGTGCTTGTTCTGTGCCCAGCAATATGCGGATTGTTTATTTACATGCTTTCCTTTGAGAAAGGGTTTGATCTCATTAAATAGAAGAGGAATTCAGAGCTAAGATTCAAAGAGGTTTATGTAACAAACCGTAACACTGAAGGCTAGGAATTGATGACACTGTAAATTAGGGACTACAAACATCAATACCTATGGAAACCTGGCAGGTGAAATAAATGGATGAGGCTGCCGGGTGGAGATTATAGTGAAGTGGGATGATCTATGCATCAGTTAAAAGGGGCAGGGGCTACTCACTTCCAGGGGATTGTTCATTCATGTGTGATCTGGTACAGCATGGTAGCTACAAGGTCAGATAACTTGGTTCAATCCAGGCTCTGCCACTTTCTAGCTGTGTGATGGTGGGCAAGTTGGTTAACTTTTATCTGTTTCACCATTTGTAAAATGGAACAAATGATAGTACTTACATGAAGTAATGAAAGGGCTGTGAGGCTTAAGTAAACTACATGTAAAGCACATGCCGGCACACATCAGCCTTCAAATGTTAGCTATACATAAATATTTGTTAATTCTACAAGTATTTGAATTTCAAACATTGTTTTAGGTGTCCAGGATGTAGCAGTGAACACAAATTAAGTCCTGGTCTAAGGAACTCAGTCAAGTTGAGATAAACAATAACCGATACTTCATATTTTTCTCTGAAAAGGGAATCAAGCAAGGTAAAGGAAGAGAGAGGGCAGGGATGCTGTTTTAAATTGGATGGTCAGAGAAATGAGGAGATGCCATTTAAGCAGAGCCCTGAATGAAGTGAAGAATCAGTCACTTTGGTATTGAAGGGAGAGTGTTAGTGGAAGGAACGGAAAGCTCGGGGGGCCCTGAGGTGGGAGCATGCTTGCTGTGTTGAGGATAGCAAGGAGACCAGTTTGGAATGCAAGAAGGAGAGAGGGCAGGAAATGAAGTTAAGGAGGAAGACAGGACCAGATCATAAGGAAGCTTACAGTCACCACCTGCTCCATTTAATCCAGCAGGAAATCCTCCCAATTTAAGCTATTTGTTCTGGAGTTTGAATATGGAGAGATTCTATCCCTAGCTCAAATTAACTGAATTTATTCAGTTATAGAAATGATCCAAACTCAGAAACCAAATAGATTTCCATAAATTGTTGTATGAAGCCCATAAGGCTTCTGGACGTGGGGTACCCTTTGACTGACATACTCTTCTTAGATCTTACCTTTTAAATTATGTTTCCTCAGCACTTCTCACAGCACACTGTTGTCTTTTTCCAGCGCACTTACTACAGTTTCATTTTTGTAAACGTTTTAGTTTCTGTCTCCCTCAGTAGATATCAAGGATCTGTGAGATCAAAGATGTGTTTTCATTAATAAATTCAGCACATTTATTGAATGCTGAGGTAAGTAGAGGCAGATAGATCATACAGGGACTTATAGGCTATATTAAGGAGTTTGGATTTTATTCTTGATATTTTATTTTAAGGAGCAGAGAAACATTTTTTTTTTAAACTTTATTGGGGAACAGTGTGTTTTTCCCAGGACACATCAGCTCCAAATCAAGCCGTTGTCCTTCAATCTTAGTTGTGGAGGGTGCGGCTCAGCTCCAAGTCTAGTTGCTATTTTCAGTCTAGTTGTGAAGGACGCAGTCCACCATCCATGTGGGAGTCGAACCGGCAACCTTGTTGTTAAGAACACATGCCCTAACCAACTGAACTTTCTGGCTGCCCATCAGCAGCTCAGCGGCAGCTCAGCTCAAGGTGTCAAGTTCAATCTTAATTGCAGGGGGTGCAGCCCACCCTCCTATGCGCGGGAATTGAACCTGCAACCTTGTTGTTAAGAGCATGTGCTCTAACCAACTGAGCCATCTGGCCGCCCACCAGTAGCTCAGCTCAAGTCACTGTCCCCAATCCAGTTGCGGAGAGTGCAGCTCACTGGCCTATGTTGGAATCGAACCGGCAACCGTGTTGCTCAGAGCTCGCGCTTTAACCAACTGAGCCACCCGGCTGCTCTGGATTTTATTCTTTGTGCAGTAGATGGTTATTGAAAGATTTTAAGTTAAAGTTTTGCTAATAATTTATATTTTTAAGTAGCCAGTATTGCTATTATGTGGAAAATGGATTGTAGAGGGAAAATAGTGGCAGCAGAGAGAATGGTTAGGAGTCTATAGCAGGAATTTAGGAGAAAACTGAAGGTGGCATGCTTTAGGGCAGAGGTTGGGTCAAATCTGGCCTATGACTTGTTTTCATAGGTAAAGTTTTATTGGAACACAGCCATGCCCATGCGTTTATGTGTTTGGTTGCTTTTGCATTACAAGCGCAAGAGACAGGATAGCCTGCAAAATCTAAAACAACAAATAGCTAAAATCTGACTACAGAAAGTTTGCCAACAGTTCTTTAAGAGAGAGATGGTAGCATGGAGGAAAGTGATAACTTTTTTTAAGTAGAACCAGCAGGATATCCTGATGGATTGGATTTAGGGAGTAACCTAAAAAGATAAGTAAGGACTGACTAAAGGTTTTTTACTTTGAAAAGTTGCTTAGCTAATAATGCCATTTGTAAGATTCAGAAAATTTGGCTCTGAGCAAGGTTTAATCACCATCATTTTTGACATTGGTTTTTTTCATTTTGTACCCATTGTGTGGAAGAATATCTGGTTAATAATTGGTGTGAAATCATATGTGTTGAATAATAAATAAATTAATGAATTAGGTTTTAAAATTAGAAGGCATTTGCTGAGTAGGCAAACAAATCATGTGAAACAGAAATAATGTGTTACAAGTTGCTCTATCAGTTAATTTAGGTTTTAAGGCTCAAAGAGTACTATTTTGAAAATAGGGCCCATTGACCTATTGTTATCTATGTACAGTGGATCAAAGTTTTAGTTTCACATTTAAACTGTCTTTTAGAATAGTGTAGCAGTTCTCAGAGAGTTCGGATCCAAAGATTAGAGTGGGAGAACAGATTGTTCCCTATGTACTTCTAATTGTTATGCAAAACACAACCTCACCAAAGCTAGTGAGAAGAATGGTTTTACTTTTGAGGAACAACTGATAGAAATAGCATAATGAACTATTGTTTAAGAGACTATAGACGTACTAGTCATATTATAATGAATGTTATGAAAACTGAAGTTGAAATCATCAAGAAGACCCTGGGAAACTACCTATGGTCATCTGATCTCAATGAGAAATGTGTGAGAAAAATAATTTATATAGTTCTTAAGTTGTAGCCAATCCCACAATTCCTCTGGGATTCTTGCTATAAGGAATTCCATTTGTAAAATTACTTTAACTTAATTTCCTCTATTTGGTACTTTTTAATTGTACCAATAGTGTACTCTATTGAGACTCTCCTCCCCATTCATTGTGCTATATTTTCTGAATAGAAAATAAAAATAGCTGTACAGTTAAGCACAGAATAAATTCATGTATATAAAGGTCAGGCTCTTCAAAAAATAATAGAATGTTACTAGAAAGAGATCTTAGAATTCATATTTTTTCTGAGAACCTCAACCCTTCAAAGCCTTGAAGGGAAAAAGCTGTGACAAAACTGGTACACATCATTGAATTGGAGGCACCCTTGGTTAGTTGTATACATATTAAAGCAACATTTTAGAAGCAGCAGTATTGACAGTGAGAAGAAACAGCTGTCTCCAGAGAAAGAAGATGGAGTAACTATAAAAAAGGAGAGAGAAGAATCACAAAAGTTTTGCTGTCCAGAGGGTTTTAGCTTTCTCCTTACCAAGTCTTATTCACTACTATTCTACCATATCATGAATAATATACATAATGTTCAGGAGTCATCATGAATATTTAAATCAGTGATTCTCAATCCTGGCTGTGCATCAGAACCACCTTGGAATTCAATAATAACAACCAAAGTAATAAAACCAGTTGCCCATGGCCCATATCCACTGAATCAACAGAGGTAGTGTCCAAGCATGTATGGGGAGATTATGACACAGCCAGAGTGAGACTGCTGGAAATAATTATGCACCACTTATTCTGCTTTTTATAGGAGAACATTTGATGATATATTTTAGGAAGGTATCTATACATGTTATAAGTATAATTTATCTTGTTTCAGTTATTTGGAAAGAGTATTTATGTGGTGGTGTTTTTTTTCTCATAGTGGATAAATGAGGTGTTATTTTATAAACTAGATTTGGAAACTCTATTTTCTTCTTCATTATTACAGACATATGGCATCCAGGAGAAAGATGTCTTGTGCCTTCTCCAGATACTGAAAAACTTTGTGAAGCAAGCATAAAATCTGTCACAGTTGATGAAAATGGGAAGTCATTTGCAGTTGTCTTATATTCAGATTTTCAAGAAAGGAAAGTACCTCTTAAAAGACTTCAAGAAGTAAAATCTGTTAAAGATTGCTCCAGGAATTTCATATTTGATGATGAAGATTTAGAAAAACCTTATTTCCCAGATCAAAAATTTCCATCATCTGCTGTTGCTTTTCAATTGTCTGAAGATGGAGACTCCATTCCTTATACTATTAATAGATACTTGCGAGACTATCAAAGGGAAGGAGCCCAGTTTCTTTATGGACACTTTATCCAAGGGAGAGGGTGTATTCTTGGTGATGACATGGGACTTGGAAAAACAGTGCAGGTAACTATTTTAATTACTTTATAATTAAAATTCAGCAAAGTCATTTTATGATGTACATGAGTAAATACAATATGCAAATCTTTACTTGTACTCCTAACTCTTATGATAGCTAGTGTGTGTGTGTGTGTGTCCCACCTGGCAGTAAAGTCCTCAAAATTAAGTACAGTGCTTTAGTCATTATTTTATCCTCAGGAATCACTTAGTATTTATGAAATATATTATTTGAAATAATGTTTAGGTATAACTTGGCTTGATTTTACCTTTGGTAATACTAGTACTAAGTTATCAATTATATTTATAAAGTAGTTTAACTTTCTTGGTAACACTTTGTGGAAGGAAAGTATTCTGACATTTGTAAGCTGTATAGCATGGTTAAATTGATTTCTTCCAGGCCTTTTGTGCATATTGTATCAGACGTTTCTTAATCTGGGATTCCTGGGCCACTAGGACTTCAGAGAGGCCTCCATTTCTCTAAATGGTATGCCGGAGTTTGTACATGTACTATATACTTTTCTGCAGAGAGCCGTCCATGTTAGTTATCCATTGCTGTATAACAAATTACTCCAAAATTTAACAGCTTGAAATGATACACATTTATCAATTACAGTTTCTGTGGGTCAGAAAGCCAGATACAGTTTAGCGCGGTCCTCTGGCTCTTCCTCTCACAAGGCTGCAGTCCTCCCTTAGCGTAGGGAGGATTCACTCCCTAGCTCACATGGATTTTGGCAGGATTCAGTTCCTTGTGGGTTGTTCGATAGAGGCCTCAGTTTCTCCTGAGCTATTGATGAATGTCTTCCCTTGGTTCCTTGCCACATGGGCCTCTGCATGGAGCTTTTCAAAACATGGCAGCATACTTCATCAGGGAGAGCAAGTGAGAGGACAAGAGAGAGCACTAGTAAGACAAGTCATGATCTTTTGTTCCCTAATCACAGAAGAGACAGCTTCATTAGAAGAAAATTACTAGGTTCTCCATACTCAAGGGGAGGAGATTAAACAACGCTGTGAATACCGAGAGGTGGGGATTATTGGGAGCCCTGCAGAAGTTGCCTACTACAGGGTCCTTAGCTTTCATTAAATTTTCGAAGAGATTTGTGATCCAAAGAGTTTAGAGTTCTGAATCTAGACTTGATACTAAATAATCGCTCTGGATTTTCAGGAGTGTTTGTCAAGTTTGTGATTAAGTCCTTCTGTGTTTCCTTCTTTATAAATAAATTTAAGCTATTTTGTCCTTCGTGGTACCTTCATTGTTAGTAGAACTCAAAGGTAAGTGAAAAACTTATTTAAAAATAGCCAAATAATGGAACTATGTATAAAGCTCTGGTGTAAAAAGCAAGGGTAAAATTAAGTCCTTCAATAATCATAGCATGTTACCATTAGCCATATGCTCTTTTCCTTTAAGTCCAGGCAGTGCACACAGCTCTAGACTTACAAATTGAAGATGATAAATAATTGCTTGTGGAATAAATGAATTTGCTTTCTCAGGAGAAGAGGAGGCAAGAATAAAGAAGGGAGCCTTCCAAATACTACTGTCTGTGACTAAGATACATAGATGAACACTAAAGGAAAATAAATAAGAAAGCCTTTCTGTAACTATCTTTACATATATTTTTAATGTTTTTGCCCATGCTAGAATGTTCTTCCTCATACTTCTTTGACTAGCCAATGCCTGTTCATCTTCAAAGTCAGAAACATGAGGGTGCTACAAAATGTGACCTGCAGTTTAAGAACCCTCACTCTAAAACTACTAATTACAATTCAAATTCTTCTGCATGTTTTAGGCTCAGATTTAGCTTTCATCTCTGAAGCCCATGTTACAAAGAAATTCCCTTCGTGTTACATTTCATAGGATTATTTTTAAAGTGATTTTACTACATAATTTTATATTACCTGACACACTGACATCACTGGAAGGCTTTGAGCTGTGCTACCTGCTGTGAAAGTCTTTGAGGGCTCATCTCCTGAAGATTAGAAAATAGTTTCTGTCCTAATTTTGACACTTAGGATTTGTCCGATCCTTGGGGACCTAGTTCTCTAGTTCTTGTAACTCAGAGAATAATTAGGCTTCCTACCAATGTGTATGAGAATTATGGTTATTCCATATCTTCATAAAATTTGGTTTTGTGTTGGTTATTTTAACAGTTTTGTTAGTATGTGTGTATGTGTTTGCTTCTGTGTTGTTTATATACTTTAGTAAGGTGTAATTGACACAATAAACAATAAATTTACAGTGTACAATTTGATAAATTTTACACATATGTGTGTGTGTGTGTGTGTGTGTGTGTGTGTGTGTATAATCTCCAACAAATGATCACTACAATACCACAGTCAAGATAATGAACATATCTATCACCCCCAGAAGTTTCCTTATGGACACTTGTGCCCATGATATGTTCAACATCAATGATTCATCACCTACTATTTTCACTTGTAGATTTTAATTGGACCAAGAAATTCAATTGGGAAGCAATGCAAAATTCTAGATTTTTGTGAAAATTTCCCAATATTTTATAGAATTCTCACATCTGATTCAATAGGTATTTTGAAAATGACTGTCCTCTATACATTTTTATAATATTTAATTAGCTAATGTAACTATAACAAATAACTTCAGCTGGACTATACAGGTTTGGGAAACTGACCTTTGATAATCAAACAGTTCACCTGATAGGAAGGGAAATGAATGGGCACTTACTATAGAACAGTGGTTCTCAAAAATCTGATCTCTGGACCAATAGCATCAGATCACCTAGGAACTTGTTAGCATTGTAAACCTCAATCCTGAGAGAAATGATGGAGTTGCTCATAGTTACAGCTTTCTTAGGCCATTGTTGATACCATTTTTTTGGATAATATGATCTTAGATTCAAAAGAAGTACTAAAATTTAAAAGTTGTATAGATCACAAGTCATGTTGTTCACTCAGGAATATAGTAATAAAGAAATAGTGATATTAACTGTATTTTCATTCATGGAAAACATGCCATAATAGCCAATGTGAGAGACTAATTACCCTACAGAGCCACAAACCCTTTAAAGCGGAAACAAAAATGTTCCCTTGTTTTAAAGATAAATTCCTTTTTGTCTGGCATGTATTCAGATTTTAGGAATAGAGCTTTGTAAAGATAAGTGGATTAGTCCCCCTTTCAAAACAGCACTTTGTTGTTGTTTGTAAGCAGGCAAAAATCATCATACTTTTTGAAGTATGATTCAAAGTACTCTCTCACCTTTTTATCTCCCAGGAAGATGAAAAATGAGGAATATAGGCTTTTGTTTGTTTGTTTGGTCTTATAAGAAATAAACAATTTTTACTATGCCTTCTGTTGGTCTAAGGGAAAGCTTGTTGCATTATTTCCCTGCCTCTGATTTACTCTGTATATCATGAGCTGACTGTATGTGAGGAAAATGACCTATAAAAATGTTTGCCTGATACTTAAAAAGGAATGCCTGTAAAAACAGAAAGCTTTCCCAAAGTGATATTTTATTTTTGAAATGCAGTTTTTGGACTCTTACTATTATTCTATAAGTGTCTGATTTAAAATGCTTAAATTTGTTCTTTTCATCCCTAAACAATTTTAGAACTATCCCACATTAAAAAATATTCTTTTCTTTAGATTAGTTTTATAAACCTTCATTGTAAATATGTCATTCCCCTTCTGTGACGTAAGATTTGGATTGACCTCTACTGTGCTAGTGTAGCGTGATAGAGATGGCCAGATCTCCCCTTTACTTTTTCAGAGTGGGCCCAGATGACAGAGACTACATTTCCCAGTTCCCTTTGCATTTCTTGGGCTTGTGACTGGCTCGGTTAACAGAAATGAGGATAGAAGTGCTCAGTGCCAGTTACATTCCTGGTCCATGAAATCCACCTTTACCATTCTTCCCATTCTCCCTTTCTCTATCTACCTTTTAGATGTTGACATATTACTGATAAGATTACCTTAATGTAACGATCTAAAAGTCTGTCAGTGGCTTTAATTAGCCTCTCCAGTTAGTGTGTATTCTCAAGTAAAGTCAAGTTTATTTTTATTTCAGCTTCGTTTTTTTCGATGGTGGGTAGGTAAATAATTTTAGGAAGTAGCGTAGATTATAGAAGAGAGATACAAAGATTTTTCTTTAAAATAATTAGTGGATTTGGTGAATTAAATTGTAAAGCTGATCCATAATTAGAGCTTGTAAATTTAGTCACCTTCTATGAAACTTCTTATAAAGATGAGATTCTTAAATAAACAAAATAGACATTTCACATATCTTTATTCCATGGAATTTGACAAATTAAGTTAGAATTACTAAGATTGTATATCATCCTAGATGAACAGATTGAATTATAAGTTACCATAATCAAGAATATAGTTTTTCTATAATGAAACAACCCATAGATGAGTTAAGAGCAACACAATAGATTAAGTTTTATATTACTCATTTAAATGTTCATATATCTAATAGGTATCTTTTTTGCCTTTTTATTAGATTTTAAGGACCAGTTGCCTATGAATCTAAACAATATATGTATCAATGTTTGCATGTATGTGTGTGTCTTTAAATACAGTGTGATTACAAACATACATAGATCTTTTAAATATGCAGTTCAATGAGTTTTGACATATATATGTTCTATAGAGTCTATACTCCAATCAAGATATAAAACTTTTCCTTTACCCTAGAAATTTTCTTCATGTCTCTTTCCTGTCGATACTCCAGTTGCCTAAATTTCTAACTATAAATTTTCTGTGATTCTTTCAGTATTCTAAGAAGTAGTCAGAACCTGAAATGTTATGAATATTTACATCATATGGGAATTCAGTAAATTGAAAACTTAGATTACATATTTTTTAATATAGAGCATAAATAACTTTAAACTTAACTTACTAAAACAATTATAAAGTGGAAATTGTGAATATGCATCAAAACTCTTTTACTGAGGTTATATTAAAAATATTTAAATTGTCCAATGCTTTAATTCAGTTATTTGTGGAATATCCTTTCTGCCTCCTTTAATCTGGC